GCCTGTAGATGTTGTTGGTGTGGCGTATATATGTTAGCGTAGCCTGTAGCTGTTGTTGGTGTGGCATATAGATGATAGCGTAGCCTGTAGCTGTTATTGGTGTGGCGTATAGATGATAGCGTAGCCTGTAGATGTTGTTAGTGTGATGTTCTAGATGTTAGCATGGCCTGTAGATGTTGTTAGTGTGAGTATAGATGTTTTTACCGTGGCCTTTAGATGTTGTTATTTTTGGTCTATGTGTTAGAGTGGCCTGTAGATGTTGTTAGTGTGACGTTATAGATGTTAGCATGGACTGTTGTTATTGTTAGCATGGACTGTCGTTTTTTATGTGGTCGTGTTCTCTGAGAACATGCTCTGAACACGCCAGGAATGTGAGGAATTTTTGAGGCAGAGAGACCTTTGACACACAGCAGAGCCAGAGCGCACACACACACACACACATAAAGAGAGAGAGGGAGAGAGAGAGAGGTGTACATTCCTGTCAGAAAGTGAGCGCTAATATGAGGCACTGATGCAGAAACAAAAGCAAAGCAAATGCACTGAAGCTGTGCTTATCCTCTGACCGGTGAACGCATCAGCCGGTTTGTGTTGGCACTCACACTTTCACACACTTGTTTTGGTCTGAAAGTGACAACAGAACATAAATAATTGTTTTGCAATAAACATTCAGAGGCTGATATAATCCCAGATGACTGCTCCATGACCACTTTACAAGTAAATACATTCAGACACATTTTAATGATCCAAAACATTGTTTTTTTTTCTAAATGTTTTCAATATTTCTAACAAAAAAAATCTCTTTATTATAAACTGCAAGCAGTAAATTCAGTGAAAGGCTTTTCTGTGTAAACCTCCAGTGTGCAACACTCATTCCTGGCTAAAGTAAATGGTACATTGTCTATTGCTGAAGGCGCCTGCAGAAGTGTAAAACGTTTCTAGCAAGACAGTATACAAAACAGTTAAAGGTGCTGTATGTGGCTTTTAAAGCATAAAATACCATAATATGTTTGCAGATAATTCAGAAACATGCTAAGTAAACGTCTGTCTTTGTTTTGGTAATTTAACCCGCTCAGTTTAGCCAATTATATTTCAGCACCCGGGTTGCCAGATGGTGGAAAACAGCGTATTTCATTCAGTCAGTCAGGAAGACTCTCAGAGTGTGCATCTGTGACTGAAATGTGACCTCTGGTGGACAGTAGCAGACTCTGAAATGAGATGCAGATTCAGAGTTCCACATGAGGTGGTTATTAATTAGCAAATAATATAAATATTAGGAGCTTAAACATTAGGTGAGCAGGTCACATTGTAACCCTGTGTCCTATCAACATGCTGCGTGAGGAGATTGGCAGTGATGTTTGGCTGTTTACACCAGAGGAAACACGACAGAAATGTGAACACAGCCATTCAGAAGCACAGAATAGTGCACTCACTGCACTCCAGCACAATGGCAAGCTTTATAATCTAATTAATGCATATTAAAGCTCTTTAACATGATTAAATGTAGATGCTGAACCACTGATATGTGTTGGTTTGCAGTTCTGAAGTTCAGTTTCAGACGCTTTATTTGATTCTCCAGATCTGAGCTGAACTATCTGCTGCTGCTGTCAGTAGTCTGGCAATACATGTGATGGGATTCAAACTCACATTATTAGCATTTAGCACTGAATAAAGCACATACATGAGCTGTACCTGAGCTGGTCATTGTCAGTTTTCTGTTGTTCAGAAATAGAAGCGGTTTCTAAAATAAAAAATTCAGGTGTTGATTAGGACAAACACTCCATTTAATATGGAAACTATTCCTTCTATCGCGCACCGTAGATTTTATATAGAACATGACTTAAATCAGCCTTAAGACTTGATAGTTTGGCACACTCCTGTTGATGTCGACAATCTGGCAACCTGTGCTTACGGATGTTTTGAACCAGGGGTGCAATACCTAGTTCAACCACTGGGTGTCAAACTTACCTACTGCACTTTTAAAGCAACAGATTCTTATACTGTGTGTGTGTGTGTGTGTGTGTGTGTGTATAAACTCTCATCAATCTGCAGGCTTCATGAGGTCCTGATGGACCTGCAGCAGCAGCAGCTTCAGCAGCTCTCTGATTGGCTGACACAGACAGAGGGGCGGATCCGGAAGATGGAGATTGAGCCAATAGCAGGAGACAT